AAAGAATACAATTAAGACATTTACTTAGTATATAATCTTCATTTGAAATTAGCATATAAATTGATTTTTTTAAACACAATAGAACAAAACATTTCATAAGTGGATAGAACTGTCTATTTATGACAAAATATAAAACTGCTATCTGACATAAGTTGTTGCTTTTTTTTTCTGAAAATATCTATTGATAATATTGTAATTATTATCAGAGAATGTAATTATAATGTCTATTTTAGTTTGGGTAAAGATTTTTCTTCATATTCACTTTAAACCTTGAAAGGGTATACTTTTTTTGATGTTCTAAAAGATTGTTTCCTATTGATTTGATATTTCCAAAATATAGTCATTTGTTTCTAGAATAAATATGTTTTTGGTAATTTCTTATTTATGATTACATGCATTAAAAGTGTATAATTGAAAAAATTGGGGAAAACATTATTAATTTTAAATTGATATAATGAAATTAGAATATATAAATTATTTTGAAATATTACAAAGTATAAATCATAATTATTGTATTTTAAGTTTTTTATTTAATCACTTTAAAAAATTTTAAATGCTTAATCTCTTTTTTTCTTTTTTCTAAATTTTTAATATGAAGTTTTACAGTTTTCTTTTATTTCAAAAAATAAATTTTGTTTTAACTTTGGTGTTAATTTTTTCTATATACTTCTTACTTTTACTAATGTTGACTTTACAACTTGACATATTAAATCAACCATTTACTGTTATGTAATTTTTATGTTATTTATTTCTGCTGACTCTAATCTTTGATTGAAATACTTTTTACCAAATAAAAGACTTTATGTATCACAATAACATTTTTTTTTTGTTTCAGTTCAGTATAAACTCATATGGAATATTTTTTCTAAATATCTGAAATACATGGAATATTCTTTTATGTATTAACTTTCATATGAATTAAACCTATCAATTTCAAAACTTGATTTGTAATTTTTTATCACAACTAAATACTGATTATTCATTCAAGGTTTCCTGTTAGTGATCAGGAAAACAGTAGAAATTAGAAACAAGTGAAAATAACAGTAATTATTCATAAACCATGACAAAACGGTTTACTGAAAGGATCAATGTAAAATGTATTGATTGATTCTAAAATGTATGTGAAAATATAAATTACCAAAGCTATGATAGAGATTGATGTTAATTATGAGAATCAAGCCATAAGTAGTTGATAGTAAAGAGTGAATAATTTAAACTATCAAAGCTATTGTTAACCATGCATTGTTTGAAACTAAATTCCTATTGTATCCCTTAGATAAAGTTTTTAGTGATCTCATGTCAATAAATATTAAAATTATTTAATGTTTTTCATTATTCATTAATTAAACTGATTATTTAGAGACATCCTCTAATTGAGTCATTATCATTCCAAGAATTGTTTACATATTGAATTTATTCTTTTTGAGTTTTTATTGTTAATACAAGGTTTCAGCTGGCCCATTCCCCAGTATTAAGAGTACAATCTATTAAAAAGGAAGAACTCTTTTTTTTTTTTTTTTTTTTTTACCATGGATAGTGTCTACCAATTCTCCAGTTTTATTATTGAAAACAGAAAAACATGAAGTAAGATATTTTTAAAAATGATATCAGTAGTTCAAACAGTCCTTGGAATGAAAATATTGTGACAAGTTCCAAAACATCTTTATTCCCTATTAAAGGAAAGTGTTTATAATTTTTTATCAGTAATAAAAAAAAATGATTTGAATGTTCTGTGTGCAATGTACATTCAGTAATCCACAACTTCCTATTCTTTATAAGCATATGAATTAGAATAGCACATTAAGTAAAATAATTCAGATACACTTCTTAGATATGTTTACAATTTTGCACTTTACTATTCTACTTAAAATTATTGTTTTAAATACCAAATATGTTAGTAGTTGATTTCAATCTCTAATCTACTAAACAATGCTGTTTAAACAAGCAATCTGAAACGACTCCAAAGTTATCTTAAAAAATTGAAAATTTATTTTTAAAATTCTTCTGTTTTTTTATGTATTATTTATGTCCTGGGATTTATTTATTTGCTTTCACTTGTAATCTTAGGTATATAAATTTGGATGCAACTTTTATAAAATTGAAGCTATCAAAATTAAACCAAACAAAAAAAGAATTAAGTTTTATATATAATTAAAGTTTCTATACTTTACTTACTTTTTTTATCATCTTGTGCTAGTTTATCCAAGAAATCTACATTGCAATTTTTACAGGATAACAATATTTATATCCAAATACGAAGTCTTAAAACTTTGTTGTATTCTTCAGAAGCATTTTTTTATTTTACTTCATAATGTTTGCTTAAATCAAATAAAAGAAATTTTGACTAAAATTTAATTACAGAAACTCTTTTAAGACAATACAGTCAGTTTAAAGATAAATTTCAAAATAATTTGATTATTTAATCTTGGATCATTTTATGGATCTCAACTGGTATATATGAATAGTAAATGAATAATGGACACTTGCTATTCAAAATGTAAGTTTTATTAGGAATTTCTCTGCTGTTTTATTCACAATTTATATTAAAACTAATTGAAAACTCATCTGAGGAAATAAAAGGAAAGATAATTGAATTCAGTGGTTATTTTTAATTTTAATAAGAGAACTGAGTATTTATGTGTTTTGTTTTATTCACAAAATGTAAATGAATGAATTCTTGGGAAATCATGAAATTTGTGTTTATTTCATGTTTACTGATTTCATTTTCAGGCATTGTTTTATATTTTTTTTGTCCTTTTTTGCATAAAAGACTTTCTTAAATGAGTGTCTTCTCTTCCCATTATTCTCAGGATTTCTACCAGATGGACATCAAATACCTGCAAGCAACTACAGAATTTTGCAGTTTGACTCTAAAATGTTACTTAAGCTACTATTTTAAACGTTTTTTTTTTTCTTCCTTTTTTTCTGTTTTTATTATTTTCTTCAGATGATAATGGAATTGAACTCAAATATATTCTAATGGCTTCACCAATTACAATTTTTTAAAAATAGAAATAAACTTAAAAACAAACTTTTGATTGTAACTTTTGAGATCATTTATTTTAATGAGTTAATTGTTAACTGAAGGAAAATACTTTATTTGTTACTTAAATTTATTGTTTCTATCTTCAAGTTTTGAGTCTGCCTGGAAAAAACACATTTGTCTTTTCAATAACATTCCTTAATATTGAATGCAGAATATTTCATGTAAAACTATGAAAATTATTTTAAAATATTTATATTTTGCCTGCTTTTACAAATATATAAGTTGTTTTTCATCTTGATTAACAGAGAAGAATTCTTTAAAACTCTTAAAGCAAGAAGGAATTTATATGTGAATTTTGAAACCTGCTTTTTAAAACAGATTCTTCAAGTTTATGCAGATGATATTACCTTTTGGCAACCTTTCATAATGGGAAATAAAATATTTTTTTATAATTCTCAGATTTTATTTTTAAAATGATAATAAAACATTTTTGTTTTTTACATTGAATTAAAGATGTAGGAAATTATATTCTCTGACCTATAAAAAATCATTAAGAAAATGCTGGCAGATAATTTTAACTTTAGAAAAGGAAAATGAAATTCCAATTATTTTTTTTTAATGTTAAAATATTGCAGAAACATTTTTGAGACTCTTAGAAAAAGAAAAAAAAACTTTTATGAAGCTTAATTTAATTTCTGCATAGTAAAGTTAAACCATTAATTCTGGATATTCCAAAGAATTTCTATAATTTTAATAGTGTTAATGGACATTAGTAGTGAAAAATTAAACTGTGGGTCACTAGATCTATTTATTGATGAATTAATAGTACTTATTTCAAGAGATGTGTTATCTAAGACAAACTATATGATGAAAAATCTGAAATTCACCTTAAAGCAAATATGGATCATTAATTAGTAAAAGTAATTTGTGCAAGTTGCTTAATTTTAAAGTTATATATTTTGTATTAACACTAACTTAATCTAAACTGCAGGTTTTACATTTTTCATACTTTCTCAACTTTCTTTTTATATATTGAAATTCAAGATTTCTTTGTTTTTAGCAACAATCAGAAACAAAGTTTTTCTTTTGTAAACAAGTAAAAAAGCAAAATCATTTAATTTATTGAAGCATTTTCAGCATTTTCTCTTTAGATAAGAGTTGATAATGATGTAATATTTTTAAATATTCCTATATTGAACACAAAATATGCCAAGTATAACTAATTTTAAATAAGTTATACTCATAATCACATAGAATTGGTATAATCTCTATCTATTCAAGTTAGTAAAATGTGCAAATGTATTTCATATTTCAGTGTTCATGTAAACAAAAGTATTTACAGGTTGCAGGAACAAACAGTATACATGCTAAATTATGTTTGTAAATAAATAGCATTTATATAACAATATAGTTTATATATAAACTACATTCATTTAAAACAGAAAAATTCAAAATTTTGTATCATATTTCATAGCAAATAAAAGCAAATAAATACAGGAAAAAATAATATATATGCTAAGTTTTTTAAATGAAGAAAAATTGTGATATAAGTAAATCAAAACAGTTTTTTTAATGTTTCTTTTTTCTTAATATGATAAAAATGTAACTGAGGTTGTTTATTTATTATCTATCATAACCAATTTTATATATTTATAAACAGTTTTTGTTATTCTAATTTAATTATTTAAAACTAAGATCCTGTTTTGCTATTTTTTATTCTTTTTGCTTTAATCTTGTAAAGCATTTAAAGTGTTCCTGCTTTTATGTCTCTTAATTGTGCTTATTTTTTGTCCCAAAATTTCATTTCTAATGTGTTAAGTCTTGTAATGAAATTCTTTGACAACAAATTCATTTTTCTTCATTCCTTTAATAAATCATAATCATTGCTTTATAATTGTGAACATTTAAACTTTGTTTCAGTTAAAGAATGGTTTCATTCATTGTTCTTGTTATCATTCATGACTGTTTCTCCATATTGTCAATTGCTTTAATTTGTTTTAATCTATTCTTTCAGTTCTCTCTTCTGTTACAAACATGCCCAACAAGAAGAAGGAAAAAGATAGCACAAGTCCGTCATCTCAAACAAAGAAAAGTTCAAGTATATCAAAGTAAGAAATAGCTCTTTGTTTTTTGTGACTAAAATTATACAAGTGATTCAAAGGACTAATTGTTCAAGAGCAGTGCATAGTTAGAAAAAAAAATGATTTACACACTGTGAATATACTTCCTTTTTTTTTTTTTTTTTTTTTTTTTTAATCAAACTATCCATTTTATTTTTGTAAAAAATTTTCTTCACACTACAGATTTCTTAATATATCTTTGAGATTTAAAGTTCCTTTAAATTAAATCATTTTTTAAAGTTTTCCTCCTTTGGGGATATTTTTCAATTTGTATAACAGATTTTAAAAAATAATTTATAATTTATTTTAGTTATAATTTTAATCTTGATTACTTTAAATAAAATGAACCAAATTGCATATTTAAATTATGTATTGGAGAAAGAAATTTACATTTATTCATTACTTTCTCTTTTAAAAATTATAATTTATTTTGTTATTTTTGTAAGTGCTACTATTTTAATATATATATATATATATATATATTCACTTTCCTAGTATCTTGTCAGGGAATCATATTATGGCCTTCATGGTATTTCTATGAATAATATACATCATTCTACTGTGTTTAACAGATAATCTATATAATTACTTAATTTTGGTTTGTGTATCATTCACTATCTTTCTCCACAAATCTTTCTTTTTTGCAGAATTGTTCTTACAGTTATACATAATTGCTTAAATTATTTTACCTTGTACCACAAGGTTTTATTTTACTAACCTGAAAATAACACACCTATTTGTTTTTATAACTATAGGGAATATACTTATGCTAACCATTTATCAAACATTACGGTTATCAAAACCCTATAGATTCTTATTCATGTATTTTAAATTATAATATTATATATTTTCTTACCTTGTTTTCCTTACTGTGAAAGAATGATGTGATCATGGTATCTGTTGGTCTAATTTGTGAATAGTAAAAGAATATACTTGTAGTATTATTGATAATGTTTTCATGGGATCACCAGTTATAGAATAGTTCTGTGATTTCTGTTAATGTATTATATTGTACTAAGTACAAAATATATGCAAATGACACAGAATGTTTAAGAAACAGAGTATAAAGATATTGAAATTTAATTCCATCAGAATTACGTGCAGAAAAGTATTAAACTAATGCTTATATCAATCTGCTCTAATTTATTGCCCAGGTATAGATGCAGGTGCAAGCATACCTATTTTTCTAACCTTTTGACAATATCAAAAAATTTGTTTCGTTTGGATTTAATTTTTGCTCATGAGCTTGCAATCTAATTCTACTAAATGTAGCTATTGTTTTTAGTCTATAAATTGTTTTAGATTTGTTGCTTAGAAATTACATAAAGTTGCTGAAGTCATTAAAATATAAATATTACTCATAAGATAATATAACATAAAAAAAGTACAGATAAGTATAAAAAATAGAAAAAGTATTTATCTGAAAACTGACATTTGGCGTCAGATGTATATGCATAAAATGTCTAGTCAGTTCTCTATATATTTCTATTGGTATGTGGATAAGTCATGAAGAAAAACATGTAACATTGTGATAAGAGAACTGAAAAAAGAATCCTCAATGAATAACTAGAAAAAAAGTTGTTTTTTTTTTTGTATAGTGAGCATTTCCACTGAGAATCTTCATTTTTTCAATAATTCACAATTATTTGGCTCTTCTTTAAAGTATTTAATCTATTGTTTTCTTTCCTTTTGAATAGATGTTGCTAGAATATCTAGAAGCTGATGTGTCAAATATAATTTATGAGTATGGGTCAATAATTCTATAACTCAAAATGAAATTATCTGAATTTTGGTCTTAAATTTTCAACGTATACTGTTTGATCAATACAGCTAATTGAAAAGTGTTGGATTAAATGCATTAACAATGAAGGTGATTATGTTAAAAAATGAGTATTTGTTGTGTAGAATATTTTTTATTTATCATTAGGCAGATCAAAATTCAGTTAATAACTGCAAATTTATTGATGCACCCTTGTATATCCTAATTCAACTTTAAATCTATAAATAGTAAAAACATTAAATAAAATTGTAGATTTGCTGAGATTTGATAGTTAAAATGTTATTAATGTAATCAGTCTCACCAAGTTCAAGGGAAGCAGATATAAGTGTTCCAGGGCACCTGTGTATACTTAAGTCCCCTCCCCTAATTAATATAAAATTACTATATTAGGTGACAGAATAGTCTCAAATGAAGTATCTCAAATAAGAGAACTAATTCCAACATGTTTTGCAAAAATCTAACTTTATAAAAAAAGACAAACAAAAGGCTTCTTCCCTAAATTACATGGATCCTATTGGGTGCCTTAGGCATCCTCAGTCCCTAAACTCACTACTGCTCTCATCAGCCCTGGAGGTAATGTAAAATTCTAGTTTTAAAAGATTATATGGTTTTGATTCAGCATAAATAGTACAAAGATTTCAGACTGTAAATAGAAACTATTTAGAAATGATTTCCATGTTTATAATCTTGAATCCATCTTTATTAGTTTTTATTCTTGTATTAAACAATTAAATTTTTGACTTTAAAACAACTTCTGTTGACAAAATATGAGTAGAAAATTTACTTGTCATTTTTTTTTTTAATTTCTTTTTAATGTTAAAAACAACAAATGTTAGAAGTTATTTGAGGAATCATAATCAGCTGTTAAAAATGATGTAGACTGTCTTGTGTTTGATAAACTTTATTAAAAAGTCCATCTGGATTTCTGGTAACTAGTGAAATAGAAAAATATAACTTGAATTGGTGAAAAAAGTGTAAAAAAAAAAAAAAAGTTCAGTAAAATAATTCAGTTAAATTATTTTATAACTTCCTTTTTAAAAAAAACAATTAGTAAGGTATTTTTCTTCCTAAAAGTTTTTCAGACTAGTGAATGACATTGTTGTTGTTTTTGTGTTGCCAGTGTTTTAGCTGATTTTGACTTTCTTCAGGTGCATAATTTCTTTTCTGTTTGCTATCATGTTTTGGTTTGCACTACAAAGAAAAAAGAAAGCACCTAATGGATAACATAAGGTACATCAGATCTGACACATCCCCTGGGTATTACTGAACTGGTTCTCTTTATGCCAGATAAGACAACCGCAGTGAAAAATTCATTTTCTTTCTATGTATGATCGTATGGGTGAGAAGTGCTTGGATAGCCAGATTGACTTTTAAATAAATTAGTAAGCAAAAAAAAAAAAAATAAATAAATTGGGAACTAAAAAATAACAAGCCTTTTATTAACTGACATTATCATTTCCCATAAATTTTATGAATACTAAGAAAATCTACATGCAATATTGAAGAATTTTTGGCATGCCCACATAAAAAAGTAGTGTGTCAAAAGGATGGTTTTTCTCTTGACACCACTATTATTTTAACTACGTTCACTCCTCACTATTTATTCATTAGATTGTTTATTTATACTATTTATTATATTGTTTATTGGAATAGTTAGCAAGACATCAGCTAATTGTCAACAGATTCAAACTTTATAAAATGGTAAATTGAGAATTTCCTTATAGTTGGTTTGCATATTTTAATAATTTAGTAAATGTTTATAAATTTATGAACAAAAAATTGTTTTCATATTTATTTCTTTAAAAATTGGTAAATGATTAATGTTACATTGCATTAGTTTTAATTCTATTAAATTTTAGAATGTTGTAAATATAAAATTATTCTTGTAAATAAATAATCTAATAAATAAATAGTGTTTGATATTTTTGTTGCAAATTCTCAAAGAACAAAGAAAAATGTATAAATTCTCTTTCATCATATGTTATGGTTTTATTGCAATTATAGTTATTGCTTCTTAAAACAATAAATATTACTGAGGGGTGAAGGTAGTTAAAATAATAGTGGTGTTAAGGGAAAAAATGTTCTTTTGATACACCATTTTTTTGTGGACACGAAAGTTAAACACTATCAAATTTTCAATGTTTCTTTTTAGAAAGGAAACTTAATTTATATCTAAATTTCTGGTATAAGGAGTTATTATTATTTACATTATATCCTCATCTTTGTTGTTGTTATTACACTGTTTTGGCTGTTGTGCCCTGTGGCCTCCGTCAGGTGTATATCGATCCTGGTTAACTATAGGGAATTCCAAAGTGAACCTGTCTGAATTTCTGGGGTTAGAAGTTTAGTTTGGAATTCCCTATAGGTTAGCAGGATCAATATACACCTGACAGAGGCCAGAGGGCACAATGGCTGAAACATTGTGATAACAACAACAAAGGATAATAGTCCAAATTTAAATAGTGTAAATAAAAAGCAACTTAAAATAAAATATATAGACAGTTTCTTACAGGGAAACAAACTGGCATTTTTTACATGTGCATGCCTTAATAGTTTAATTCAAATAAAACTGATTAGCAAATATATTTTTTCTGAAGTTAACTCTATATAACTGCTTCTCCACAATTAAAGTTTATCCACAATTAAAGCTAAATATATAATCACTCAGTGGACTTCCTTATTACTCTTATTTAATAAATATCAAAGCAAACCTCAATATATAATGGATCAACTGGAGATTTTAATAAACTATTTACATACTTCTTACCTTCTATAGTAATATGATGTTTAGAATGAATATGACTAAAATAATTGGTAAAAAAGAAACTAACATTTTTTTCCTTTTATAAATTAATAAGATAAACATTGCTTCATATACTGACATTTTTGTCATTTTATTTGTATTTTTTACTGTCTAACAGTTATCTACTCACATTGATAAATCTTATTTCATATTGTTTCTCCAACTAAAATGAGTGATAATATCTACCAGTTAGATGTTTTATTCTACTGAATAATCCCCAACTGTCAAGTTTATAATAACCCTTATAATACCAACATAGATAAGGTTTGACAAGCATTCACTGAAAAGTTTAATTCTTGACCAGTACTGTTTATCATGTTATACCATATATATATATATATATATATATATATATATATATATACACACACACAAAAGGAATGCTTATCTTAGCTGATGCATTTA